TTTTGTTGGAGGTGTTTTTTATGCCGCTTGATATTACCGTTCATTTCATCCCGCAGCGACAGGTTTCCAGCCCCGGTCCCTGTTCCTGTCCACCTCCCTCCGTAGGTGAAGTCTCCATCCATAACAGTGAAGTGACCGCGTTGATATTTGGCTCAGACAACAAAATGACCATCACCGGCAAAGCCAACTCAAACAGGAGGCGTCATCTAACAGCGCCATCTAGTGTCAATGTCCTGCCACAGCGCTCAGGATGCCGGAGGAAAAAGACATGAAGAGGACTTGGTTAGATCCACTTCCGTAAAAAAGTTTCTTCATTCATTGCTTTCTCGGTCTTGCAAAACAGGGATTGAATGTCATGAAAGAGGAAGAAAAGTATTTGAAAAACAAACAAAAAACCCTTTACTTTCTATGGTTTCCTTTCTTATAAAAGTAACTGTACACCCACACGCTTTCTACATTGTCTAAATGTTGCTTTTTCTACGGACTTAATTTATTCTGCTATTTTTTATTAAAAGTATACATATGTTGTGCTAAATGCTTTAGAAAAAAGAAAATGCCATGATTTTAATAAAAAAAAAAGAGTTTAATTTGTTTTCAAAAACAACTATAATTTCTGTTCCGGATCTGGCTTTATTGAAGCTGCGGCATGAAACTGTGGCCATCAACATATGAAGTACTGTACATATTTATAAAAACACTTTTGGAAAGTGTGTGTTTTTTAAGAATTGATTTGACTCTTTTTCAGACATACGGGATTCATGGTAAAAGCTTTATCTTACAAAAAGGAGTCTGTTGTTGTTATTGTTGTGTTTTCTACTTTGCCCTTAAGTACAAGTATAAGACAGAAAATATCAAAAGACATCATACATAATACTAAAAATGAAAAATGATAATAATAGTAGTACTAGTAAATTATAATAACAATAATAATTATTGCAGTAGCGCCCAGAGGCAATGTCTCTGTCATTGGTGTAGAACCCCAGGGTTCACCTCCAGGGCAAGCTTGAATCCCAGTTAGGGCGGTTGGTGCCTTCCAGTGGACTGACCACCTGCAGGAAGGTTCAGGGGGGTTGGTACTAACTGGTATTCGAATCTGCCCAGGAGGTGAACCCTGGGGTTCCACACCAATGACAGACATTGCCTCTGGGCCAAAGCGCCACTGGATAATTATTATAAATTAAAAAACAAAATAATTCATCAGACTTGTGCTCAAACCTTGGAGGGAAGAAATGGGAGACATTACAAACCAGGTGGTTGTATGTAAATATTGCTTTTATCAAATAAAGTCTGCATTTGAATACAAATGTATTGACATTTTAATTACACAAAGGACATGTTTGATTGTAGAATAAATGAATTGTGCATCTATATTTCGGGCCAACCTTTAGTTACTACACTTGTGTGTTATTAACATTGGTGTTATTTTTACACGTGACTGTGATGAAGTCAAAGAAAGAGGCCCTTTTTAAAGTTTTACAGTTCTCACGTGTTCTCACCCTCCTCTGACCTTGGTTTTTCAAGTTTTCAAAGAGCAGCATTTGTCAGACTGGAGTATCTATATTGCTTTATACTCCAGTTACAAACTGCCAACGTGTGAACACAGGCCTCTGCTGAGCACCTGAGTGTTGGAACTAATCGGTTGTGATGGTCAAGTGTGAACTCAGCAGGATTCTGGCAGCACAGCCCAATACATGCTGCCAGTTCTCCATCTGTCACCGGATCCAACTGCAGAGACACGCGCAGTTGCACAGTGTGCCAGAGAGAAGGTTCACCAAATAATTCACCAAAACTATTTTAATTTTAGCTTCTTTTTTTTAAACTAAGAAGCTAATCAGAATGTGTAAAATATATCTCAGCGAGTGACACAGTATATGACACTTGAAGGTATATGGACACCTGTCAGGTCAAGGGTCGTATGTAATTATGAACACACCTCTATAAGCTCACAGTGGTGCAGTGACTATTTACAGAACAGCCGTCTGTTCACTTGCACCCAGTAATTCATGGAGCAAAACAAACAGGGTTTCAAGGTGAAAATAGTTTCAGAATTTACTAAGAATGTGGTGAAGTGTGGAAAAATATCACAGGTCAATTGAATTCATTCACAAACAAAATAAAATGATGAATCATTTTCCAGCTCAAAGCTTGATCAAGGGTGTTTAAATTAAATTACAAAAAAAGATTTTCAAAAAACTATCTAATTAACTATCTAAACAAGGTCAAATGTGCAAAATCTAAATCTAATCAGCTTATTCAACTTACGTTAAATGTCTGCATTCAATCATAAATTTCCCGAGGGATTAATAAAGTGCTATCTATCATCTATCTATCCATAAACAACAGTAGCAAAAAAAAAAAAAAAAAAAAAAAAGCAAAAAGTAATTTGTGTAAATCCCTCGGGTGAAGACCTTTGTTTGCTCAATATTTATACTCAATAACCCTTGAATCCAGCTCCAGTATAATTGTGGCAAGAATTCATGATGTACAACATTGCTTGACTGAGCTGAACTCACCTGTGGACACTGAGAACAGACTTCACACAGGGACAGTTTGTCAAACACAGGAAAAAACAATGGGGCTCAGCAGAAGTTAGCTCCAGCTGACACACAGTGGTGCAACGAGACACACTGCATTATGGGTAGGGTAGTTCCCAACCCGTAGACCATATTAGAAAGGGCTTTAGCCACTTAAGCTGCAGGATGCGATGCTGTTTTGAAACAGGAAGTTAAATTTTTCATTTTACAACACTGTAAACACTACATAAAAAACCAAACTTATCCGTACTCACTAATGGAGTGAATTTTCTTCACCATGGTTTATGATTAAGTTCTCTAACATAAATATGACCCCAATAATGACCTTGTCATTGAATCAAAGCTTTAATACAGAGTGACAGATTATTATGAGGGGCATCCATCTATTGGTTACATTGATTTCATGCACAGGAAATTGGTAACACTGAGACGGAACATTTTGGGTTAAGACACACACACACACAGCCATACAACAAAGTGAGCCATAAAAGTGCTATAAAAATGGAGATTACATTCAGACCCAATGAATGGAAGCACTCGATCATCCATCTCTATTGGCCTCAGCTTGGCCATCAGAGTACCAGCTTTTGCCCCACCTTTACAATGGAAACACCAGAAACCCAGAGAAGGTGGAGTACTTCCACCCTCCCATCAGGTTCCCTCTCTCCAGTTTTAGGTAAACCTTGTCCCCTCTCTCCATCAGAACCAGTCCGGCGTTGGTGGCAGCTTCCCTGGTCACATCCTGGTCTCCTGCAAAGGCAGAGATCACGGGCCAGCCATTGAGAACCAAGCTGACCTGTGAAGAATGGATGGAAAATGTTGGAAATTCCCTTGAAAAACTCTTACAAAAAGTGACTAATGACGTGCACTACTATTTTTTGTTTGCTATGGAGAACATCCTTGACCCGTGGTAGGACTAAGATGTTGTCAGAGGAACCTTAAGTTACATTTCAAAATGAGGGGGAGAATCAGCCCGTCTTTACGTTTAACAGATCAATAGAAAACAACATAATTACGAAAACCAGACAAAAACTGCTAGCATCACCCAAATCAGCTTAGCTTTGACAATAATATTTATGATCTGTGATTTTTCACAAATATAAAATGCCACAACTAAAAGCCCTCATGTTGCAGTGGTTTTGTACTGAGATTTTGAGCATAAATAGCTATAAGGAGACAGTGTCACTAAAGTATTCTCTTTAAATTTCCACTTGAGTAAAAGTATAAAATATTTGCCTTCATACATAAGTAAAAAAATTAAATAAAAGTACCACATCAAACATCCTGCTCAGTCAACTGATTTAAGGTGAAAATACTAAAGCCACTCTTTGAATAGTGTCTAGATAAAAACAACATGCATGTCAAATTGGTCCACCTCCCTAACCATAACCCAAGTGAATAGTCCTGGAGAATAGTAGCCTTATTAGTTTATGAGAGCTGAATTCTAGAATCCTGGCCAGACACAATTTCCAGGTCTCAAAAAGAGGATGTCCCGAGAAAAGAGGTCACCCTAGCAAGCTATGCTAGCATATAGCTGGTATTTAACTCAGTTTAACACACAATGCTGACAGAGGGATGAGAGATTTCACTAAATGTAATGGAGTATTACATACAAATTTTCAAAGTATAAAGTTTCACCAAATAGGAAGACTTGAATAAAGTACAGATACATCAGGATGTTACCTCAGTACAGGAACAAATTACATCTACATTACTGTCCACTACTGCAAACCAGTGCCATAGGTTTAGTTTTTGACTGCTGGGTTGTGATTGGATCAACTGTCTTCTGTCTTATTCATAAAGGCAGCACCTTTTCAAAGTTAAAAGCCTTTTTTTTTTCTTTTTGTGAGATTTTATTATTGTCTATTCAAAAACAGTGATAATAGTTAATTTTCTTCTCTTTAAACCCCCCCACCCAAAAAAAACATATTCACAAGAACGATACATGTTGTAAAACAAATTCTGAAGAAATTATAATATATGAAAACACCAGTCTGAGGAAATACAAATCAACATACTGTAGGAGTGTCATTCCAGTCAAAGCCATAGTAGGAAAAACACTAGTAATTATTTATGAATTTCATCACATCCCAGTAATACATGATTATCATGACACAACCACTCCTTAACTACAACTACCACTGTGGAACCTCATGTGCAGGAAGAGGAAGCGGAAGCGCATAACTTGTCTATTTATGGTCATTATGTTATTATGTAAATCAAAACACTGTCATCAAATTCACTGCTGTTTGCAGTTGGAAGTTACATCAATTAATTCCTTTAATTATGAAAGTATTTTTAACTGCCGTTCTCACCTGTATGGTCTGTCGGTTGTAAACCTTGACCACGTGGAAGCTGAAACTGTACACCCCTTTCCGGGGGGCCACAAATATGCTCCTGGCTGGATCAAAGTGGCTCCCAATGTTTACTAAAATCTGAAAAATAAGGAGTACATTAAAATCAAACTATATTCTCTCTCTCTCTCTCTCTCTCTCTCTCTCTCTATATATATATATATATATATATATATACATATATACGTATATATTCATTAAACAACATTAAATGTCATTTATTTCCATATGTCACATTCTGTCATGATCAAGCTTAGTGTCTACATTTTAGCCACATTTCTGATTTACAAAATCAGATTTCATAACATTATACATTTGATAAGCATATACATAGTATTTTATAGCAGGGGGTCCCAAACCCCGGTCCAGGGACCAGTACTGGTCCGTAGGTCATTTGATACAGGGCTGCAGAGGGACACAGTGAAAGAATGTATTTCAGTTTTACTAATTTATTTTATTCATAAAGGATCCAGTCATATCCCCTTACTTTCTTCATTTAAAGATAACCTGACAATGTCTCAAAACAAAAGGTCATTCAGACTCTGATACTGACAGAATACTGAATGAGCCAATAGCATTTTTTAGCATTTACTGAGACTGACACAGACAGTACACATTAGACTCAGTAGAATTATTTCAAATTTTACTAAATTTTACTTTTTTAATGTACAAAATAATCACCTGGTCGAAGTAGATGGTCATTGTGCGGTTGCTCATCTCCGATGGTTCGTGGTTGGTGTTACGGATGGCTGAGAACGCCACACGTCCACTCCCTGACCTCACCGACATGCCCAGAGCATTACCCGATGGCTCGGTGGCAGGTGTGGAGTCACACACCACCAAACATTTTCCCTCCAACACAATTGGCTCCGTGTCATTCTGGCAAGAGACCTCCAGGGGCCCCAAGAAGAACAGGAGCAGGAGTCCAGTGTAGAAGGCTGGGCCTGGAGAGGAGGTTGGACTGAGCATTGCAAAGACTTGAGAGGAGCTCCAGGTCCTTGAATCGTGTCTTCTCACAGAAACAGTGACAGGATGCCTGGAGAGTAAAGACTTCTGCTCTGCTATACCAGACTTTGCACCTAAATTAGCTCATGATCCATGCAGAAGCTCGTGACTAGAATTTTGGATGTGAACTGGTCATTTATTCATAAGTTAGAGCCGTCATCAGCCAGCCGGCCGGATGGTACTCCAACCTGATTCCAGGTGTACTTCAGAAGCTGTGAAAGAGAACACGTGGATTTTTCATTAAATACACACAAAAACAAAAGCAGACGCTGCAGTTTAGAAGCACGTGTTTTGTAGTTCAGTCTCCAAAGCTGATTAAATCAGTGGCTGTCCTGCCAGCATAGATTACAATTAGTGTGTGTGAAGAAGTGAATTTCAGATTTTTGAGTTTGGAGCAATTAGAAAATGACAAAAGTAAAGCTAAGCTTGCAGTAACATTAGCATCTCTAGCACCGAAAATATAACTGTAGATACCTGGATGGGCATTATTCTCCACCGCAACAAAATACAATCAAAGATATAAATATATTACTCTATATATGGCGACAATATTCCATAAGTAAGACATGAGAAAAACCTAGGAGCGGTAGAGCATGTACACTACCAGTTGGCCTCTGGGAAGAGGGGCGGGGCAGGGGGGTATCACATCCCCACCACTGAGCGGCCATCTGTGGGTAAACACTCCCACTCCCTCTTTCCAATTAAAAACTCACCTTCCTCTACACTCAAAAATCAACCTTTTTATTTTTACCTTGCTGCATTTAAATAGTTCTGTTTTTTGCATGAGGGATTAAGAAAATCCCTCCCTAACTGTGGATGCAACATAAACAACGTCACCTATAATAAAAAAAAGGTAACATTTACAAAAAAAAAAAACACCTTTCATGCAACATGCATGAAAAATATGTTTTCTTTAAAAAAGTAGTATTACAGACACACCTACCTGTCAAGCTCTCTTCTTTCTGCGTTCCTTTCCTATGTCCAGCTTTACCCTACTCTCTCTCTCTCTGTGCCTCTCTCCTTCAGGGTGGAGCAGACATTTAATCGCATCATGAACATCCTGGCCCTTCTGTTCTCGTGGCTCCTCGACCCCCTGTGGAACCTAGTTCCCCTCCCTCTCTGTCCTCTGGTTTACTGCCATTAATGCACCACGTAAAGTCAGCAAAACTATCCGTGATGTGAAGGAATAACCTCAGGTTTTGGAGGGAAAATGCGTATCAAAGATACGTATATGTAATGTATTTAAGAGTCTTAGCATGAAAATTTTCAAATTTAGAATGGTCTGGAGAAGAAATGTGGCACTCATACACCCTTTTTCTGGAAATACCAGATTACAAAAGGCCCCAGCAGGGAATGAGGAGGGCAGGAGGGCAAAAAACTGAGGATAGAATTTTAATTTTTACACATTTCCAGAACGTTGTTTTATGACTTCACAGATGTTGTTGAGTCACAACACTCCCAAAACTCCCCAGCAGTAGCAGTGGACTGGGTGTGGGGAAAAATATGGTGAACAGGAACACAGATGATTAAGAACAGCTTGTTAAAATACATCTCCACTGTACCAGGTACCAAACGTTTAAACCTTCCTTTCAAGTGGGTGAATTCAGGAGTGAATGTTTCCTATTACTAGGAACCCAGTCAGTGAAATAGTTTGTCCTGCAGAGGTGTGGTTAGTTGAGATCACAATGAACCTCTGACATGTCACTGCCAGGCAGCTTGGGGTGTGAGCTCTGCTGGGAATGGGCAATTATTTGGCTTTGCCATCATTAACCACTAACACCTAAGTTACAGTATGTCCACGTGAGCATTTTTGGATTTTGGTTTGTGGTAAATACTGGCAGTTTGAGAAAAAAAAGAACAAAAAGTAGATAAAGCACAGTTAATTTAGTGACACCCAGTTAAGTTATTTTGTCGGCCAATAAAAGAGATGAAAATATATGAAATTGCAGTTTTTATGCAGATTACACAGTGATATACGTATATACATATATATATAACTTTATGAAGCCTTTGGGAGGTTATGCTCTTCAACACACGTACACACACACACACACACAGGCAGACGTCTGTTTGTAGGTGTGATAATAACTGGTGTGACAGTCAGATTCAGGTCACGTTCTACTAGAGAGAGAACATTGTAGCCTAAATAGATGATTCAATGCACATGCCTGAACAATGCAGTGTACGCTCTTGTTTTCTGACACTGAAAACAAAAACAAAAAAACACAGCAGGTGACTGTGTAACACCTGCATATTTCTTTGACAAGTACGTGAAGAGGAATCACGTATGTACTGTGACCTATTTTCTTCAAACAATCGAGGGAACAGCATCACAGTTCCAGAAAATGTAGAGCAGAACATCCAATGTTTTTTCCCTGGCAAATAATAACTGTAGTTTCCCACAGCGTCAAAACCATCAAAATCTATGACGATGACAAAGTAACCAGTATATTACAGAGCAGGGCACAAGAATGATTCACTACGTTATATATGTTTTTAAATAAAAACGTCCACCTGCTGATGCAGCAGAGAAATCTGTTCAAAACTCAATCAATTATTTATTGACAATTAAAGTTTTGGCATGAAACATGACTTATTGTTCACATATATCATTTCTATATATTTTTTATAATCGTCATGTAACTTCACTCCAGGCCTGCAGATGGTGGTAATAATATAGAAGGAAGGAACTCTAATCCCCAGAAAAACATGTAAAACTCCCGTATTCAGAAACAAAAATACCCGTGTCCCGTTAAGCTGACAAAGGACGCACTTTGTCCCGTATTACTGTGAGAATCAAAAATGAAAGTTGGCTGAAAATTGTCAGTGAAATTAATGAATAACACAGCATTTAGTTTGTATGAAAACATGCGTGTCTTGTATTGAGCTGAGAAAGGAGCAGGCGGTCCTCGCCACAAACATCCCTGCCACTTTGTTAATAATACAGTCCAGAAAATAGAAATTGAACAAAAATTCCAATAAATTAACCTCCAATGTGTAAATGTTCCTAACGCCTGTTGAATACAAAGCTAGC